CACGTTGCTTCCCGGAAGCACAGGCTTCAATGCTTGTGATTGTTCGGTGATCCCTTTAATGCATCTGCACTTCCTGCCTGTCAACTCATCTTTGTTCATCAGCTTTTCCCACTTATGGCACCAAGGAGAAAAAAAAAAGGTAAGCAGAGCAAAACGGCAGTGAAAAATTGGAGGCACAGGACAATGATGCATGCGCTCTTAAAACACAGATCACCTATAATGTGAACATATTTCTGAGGAGGTGTGTCCAGATTTGTGCCAAATTTAAGCAGTTTTGAATTGGAACTTACTGGCTAATGATTCGATCATACAATGTTAACTGTGCTTTTTATTGCTCAAAAACAACAACAAAATTCATCCACACTGGATGTCAATTTGAAGCCTCTCTCCCCCTGGCTATTCTTAAAAAAAAGAAAGAAAAAGACCTCCCTTATTGTTTGTTTGTTTTTTGCTATACCCTTTAACGAAAAATCTTTTGTTTTATTAAAAAAAATAAATACAAGAAACAACTGATTAACACTCCCACTCTCCTTGTTCTTTTTTTCTATTCCCCAGTGGTGAAAGATCAGCCCAGAGAAAGGCCTTCATGAGAGTAATCGTGAGCCCGATTGGAAGAAGACATAAAGATGAATTAATTGGGAGATGAGAAAAACTCCGCTTTGGCTAAATCTATTCCAGGTCTTCTGGGATCCTTTAAAAAGCCTATGAACAAAGCTCCAGTGTCAGCAACAAACAAGTGTGGAATCCAGTCCCACAAACCTTTGTGTTTGTTGCGTCTGAGGCTGGGCTAAAACTAATTGAGTAATAAAATCTGCCGTAAGCAGACACGAACAAACTCCTCACATCACTTCTCGCTAACCCACAACAAAGCCACTGAGAAACAAACTGTATTTTCCAAACAGCCTGAACCACATATTCTTATATTTGACACTTTACACAACTGAATGAAAATAATAATAATGATAGTCAACCATCCAAAGATAAAAACCATCTTTCATTACATACATAGCATTGAATTACATTCTAGAGTTCTTAACATCACGAGTTAAATGAAAACAAAACAGCAAAAATAAAGTCACACTTAAAAGTTTTCCACTAACAATCGAATCCACATGGGAGGATAAACACTGCCATTTTCCATTAGGAAATGATCAGTTTGATCCACTGTTATCATATCAAGATATTGGCACAGGTACACAGCTTATGAAAACTTTTCTTGCTGTTTTTTTCCAATAACAGATGTAACTGTGGTTCAGTCAGATTTTTCGCAGTGTTTGTCCACCCATTCAAAAAAATACAATGAGAAAAAGTTGGCACTGAGTGGAGAAGCTCGAATGAATAGTGCTGTGAGGAACCTGGGGTTACATTGCAACTGAAGCTGAACTTTTCCTTCATATATTGTTAATAAATAAGAAAACTCATTTACATCCATCATAAATCTTAATTTTAGTAGCTATGTTTTCGTCTTGAGTACCTAAAAACCTCTCAGTATATATAGAAAAAATATATTTGGTTCTACATACTCAGTACAGATAAATCAGCTCCTTCTGTTTAATTAGATTTATAATAACCCATCATCTTTCTTTATCAAAATGAAGCTTAAAGTAGACTGCTCCGATGAGCTTGGCTGAATAACGATTTTGATAAATCTGGGATGTAAAGAGACTGGATGATGATGAACACAGGCCCTTCATCTATATGCAGATGAGCTTCCTTTGTCAATAAATGAAATGTATTTTTCTTGCTCAGAATATCAGACTCAGTGTTCCAGAAAAACACAAAATGTTTATACTGGCTTACAAGCTTGTAAAAAGTCACTACAACAGATCAGTCAGCAATCAGACACCAACGCCTCAACTATCTCAAGTGAGCAGTAAAAATGTAAACGTCACTTCTGTAGGCAACATTCATCCTATTTATGTCACGAACGCTCTAGTGTCACACACTCTACTGCAAATAGAACCTCATCAGAATTTGAAGCAGGGGCATTAACAAGGATTTTACTTGTGTTTTCATGTCCACTGCGGTGATCCAAGCTTAGATTGACACAAATGAGGAATATAAAAAACACAATAATTACAGAGGAAGTCACCGTCACATGGTGTGCTGTTCAGAGCTTGGTTTAATTCTCTGGGTGTAAAGAAGTATATTTCATAAATTCCACAGCCTCCTGCTCTGTATGTAAAACGTTAATGCTCTAAAAACAACACTGACCTGGTTAAAAATGTATTTCACTTCCTTACAAATCTTTAAGCCACATAAATAAATACTCAAACTTCTCTTTCATTTCTTATCAGTATAATATTACAACCTAACCTCTTAGTATGAATTATTCCTCTATACTCGGAACAACATTACCACACTGACTACCTAAATACCAAAATATCAAAATGCACATCCTCCAGTAAAAAAAAACAAAAAAAGACAAACAAACAAAAGCAACATGAGACCAGCAGCTTCAGACAAACATACAAAAATACAGTCACTGATTTTTAAGACATCTAATTTACCACCTTCAGCGCTTCGGTTTTCAGTAAGCCGATTGCAGCAAAAGTAGTTTCATGAAACGCTTCCAAAAAGCCAACATTCAGGATGCTGATATTCATCTTGTAATGTTTTGTACAGCACAGTTTAGAGTCTAAATGCTGTTATTTTATCCTGAAAATGCAATCTAGCTTTCAACTCAGTTGGTCGATCATTCAGTCATATTGAGGAATGTTTCTTTTTTGCAACGCTACTGCAGGCCTGAGAATTATCTTGAAATAATCAGTATCAATTTCTATCTCTGACTTCCAATAAGAAAGCTAAAATAAAGAGCAGATAGAACTACTTATAACTATATAACTGCTTGTGAGAAAAAGAGAAGAGGGCTTCGTTGCTCTCTGCCTCGAAAGATTTCACCAACACTTTTAAGAGTTAAATTATTTATAACATCCACTAAACTGCACTCAGACTGGTGGTCATCACGATACAATATAAGTACTATAGTGACAAAGCAAACCTCTCTGGACATGCCCTGTCAGAGTACACAACCAAAAGTCTGTGTGGTGTTTACATAGTAAACATTACTTATTTTTTTCCCCCTGTTACCAAATTAAATAAAATTGCTAGCAAGGCAGTGAGAGAGGCTGCTCCGCCACACAGCACTCCCAGTCAAACTCATCCCTAATGGAGAAATAATGCTTTTTCTCATGCCTCCCTCTGCAAGAGTCAGTGGTGAGGGTCAGCTTAAATGCACCACTCCTGGACCTCAGAGTGAAAACCTTATTCTGTTCAGTAGCAATTCAGTAGAGTAGCAAACGTTTAAAATTGAGGCTTTCCTCACATTATGATCAACAGAGGAAAATAAGCATCGCAGGAGATTATTATATATATTTATATCTGGCTCTAAATCAGCATATATGGGTTGAGAAGCAACAGGAATCGTCCTGATAACAGGTCGACTGATTTTATATTTTCATCCAAAAGGTATGAAAAATGACTGTGTGTCATTTTGATCGGCAGCTGACCGCATCTGGATTAAAAGATATTTTTAAGCGCAGGGATTATCAGTCCAATTCTATAAAGTGCATTTATCAGACTTAGTCGACACATTTTGCGGGGACATCAACAGGAAATCAAGATTTTGCTGAACATGGTCATCACCATTATCAAGAGAACAATCATTAACGGAGTTCATGCTAGATTATTATGAGCCATCATGTTTGGGATTCAGGAGGCAGGATCGGGTCTGGTTTTCTGTTGCTTGCTCTGCATTTGTTGTGAATTAGAGTTCCCCAATTTCACCTGGAAAAAGAATCCCATGATGCTAACTTTTCCTACTGTGTAATAATTACAACATACTCTTAAAACCTACGTCTGTAGATTTAAGGTGATGTCACAGAACTTAAAGAGAATAAGATAGCAACTGATGCAAGCACTGATCCTGTCTTTTCTGCAGGGGTAGCTCTTATGCCTTTTTCAAGGGGGGTGGATAACACGCATTTGAAGTGCTGAAGCAAGCTCCGTGTTACTCTATCGCCGCATTATACGGCATATTAATGGGCTCCTCCCAAATAATAGCTCAACAATAGGGCAGGTTAATTTTTAACAACAGGTCAGGACACAGATTATTAAAATTAAATGAGTAGTTGTAGCAGTAGTGATGCAGCAGTTTCAGAAGAAGAGAGGCGAATTTTGTCTGACGTTATATTCAGAAGATCTTAGATGATTTATTCTTTCTCATATACAAAAACCTCTGAGCAATAATCTGAGATTGTTGTTGTGTGCATGTGTGTATTTTTCCGTTTGGGAACCAAAGAAATAAATATTTTCTTGTTTTGACTTGGATGCATACCACTAAGGAGACACGACATCAGGTTTATGACTTAATAAACCTGTTCACCCCACACAAAAAGCAGCAAAAAAGTACAACAAATGATGGCACCAACAGTTAATGTCCTTACCGATTTAAATCTGCAGCCATGTCTTAAACAAACTGTACTCTAAACTGAGTAAGTAACACTGCAAAAATAGGAAATTATCCCCCATTTGTTGATTATTTGAAATCAACAAATGTCCTAATTTCATTCAATATAGATTACAAAATGCAAAGAAAATTTTTAACTAATCTCTCCACCCTCCTCCTGGTTCAATTGTCCTCCACAGAGTAAAGAATGATGAAAAAGAACCAGAAAACAGTGTTTTGATTTGATTTAACATGTGCACCTTGTGTACAGATGGATAATATTGCTTTTACACTGGAAAATGTGGAGTATTTATATAGAAAATATCCAAAACAATATAAATAGTTTTACATTTAAATCTTTTTTTAAGAAACCACGTATTTACCCACAACTGAGTAAGCTAGACCCTTCCTAACCCCTTTGGCACAATAGTCATATTAATATTATTATATTGTATGTATACAAGACATTTGAATAGGAATGCTCACTCACACATTCAGAGTAGTAACACAGTTTCTGTAGTCGTAACACATATTGGTACGTTATATGGTATGTTATAAGATAGCTCAAAAAGATCTTTTTTCTTTTTCTTTTTTTAACATTTGCTGATATGTAAATAAACGTACTTTCATCTGAAACAAAACAGAACTGTCATTGCATGCCCTTAGTATTTACAGAGTCATTTTGTCTGAGTTTGTTCTTGCTGGCTACTGTAGAGCACAAATTCGTAAGTAAACTCAAAAAGGAGGAACCAGACTGTGGACTATCATGATGGACAACAATGCAGCACTGATTTTTGGTGTGTTGTGTTTATCAACGGTCCAATTAGTAATCGCTTTAATGGTATGTGCACACTGTATACACGCCACATGAAGATAAAATGTATTTAAAAAACTGCTCGTGTTGTGTATGAAAACCTCCTGGTTTTAATTTTTTTTCGTATTTGTGTTTTTTGCTTTGCTTTGCAACAACTGATTTTCTCGGTTGAAGGAGCTGAAACAAAGCCAAGGCCTTGTTTCTCAAAAGCATCTTAGTAAATATATTCAGTGGCACATTTTTCCTCCAGGTACAGGCGTTGGCACATATATAAGAACACTCTATTTAAAGGCATACCCAAAATCTTAAAAAGCCAAATCTAATCTCCTACAAATATATGAACTACTGTTGCCAAACACTTTGAGTTCACTCACATTTTCCTCAGTCTAGGATATATGGCACGAAGCCAGACTCTAAAGACTAAACCAATGGACTTAAATTCTTACTGAAGTGAGAATACTGACGGCATGAAGCTACAGGCGGTAAAGAAACAACTAGCCTTATTGTCTTGGTCTTAATTCAATAATTAAAATGTCAAATCTCAAAAACACATTGCTATTTCGTAGGGGATCATTTGCATCTTGCTTCTATTTAACCATGACTTCCTGAAGTATTGTCATCACCACACGGTTGCCAGGCAACTAACAGAGACTTCCTACATTTACCTGACAGATAAAGCATGAGAGTGGTATCGATTGCCTGCTCTTGTAACCGCAGCCAATTTTCCACAATAAGGAAGTATTCCTTTAAGTCAATACTACTTGAGGTCTGGGTAATTTTCAAGTCTGTGTTTTCCTGGATCTGCATCACTGACATTTTTATTTGGCTATACTGGATGTCAGTCATCATCAACAGTCAACCAGTATGGTCTTGTGAGACTAACAGTAATGTGGCAGGAGTGTATTAAGTAAACCTAACATTTAAAAAAATCTACCTAATGCTCAATTTTTGTGAACATCTTTGGTTGTTCTGCCACCTTTGTTTAAAAAATAAAAAATAAAAATCATAGCACCTGAGCAACCGATGGACCTCATAGTGGCTGAGGAGGACGCTCCCCAGCTTGAATCTATCAATTTGCACCCACTGACATTATAGATTGCCGTGATTTCAATTAAACGCATTCAGAGCACTGTCTGTGATGAAACAGGACGACTGTGTCTTGCTGACATATTGTATAGAGAAAATGTCATGACTGGGATCCAGCTAAGCCTCGCAAAATGCAGTGTTAAATGTCACACATCAACATTCAGCTTTGAGATCAGACGTCTGCCAATGATCCACCTGAATCTCATTTAATGACTAAGATGTTTATGGTAAAACAAGGCCTGGTCTTTTCAGTCCCTCTGTCGTCCTCTTTCTCAAGTCACACACAGAAAGCTACAAAAGGTTTGGTCCCAACAGCTTCAGGAGTCATGTAGAAAACATACATTCAAACTTCTGAAGAAAACTCATTGGAAGAGTAGAAAATACTGAAATGATCGCAGGATAAAAGAAAGCCGTGAGACAGAAAGGGACCAGGGACATAAATCGCTTAGATTGGGAAGCTGAATAAATGAAAAGGTGGTTCTTAACATAGTGCCTGTATATGTTAACACTGTTGATGCAATGCACTTTGTCAGAAGCGTGTTGGATTTAATAATCAAAGAAAAATCTGTAACCTCATACATATTTACAGTGTTTCCCTTACATTGTATTTGTATCAGTGTGCCCACAGTTGTGTTTGTCAATGTGCACCTGTGTAAATGTGCCTACGAGCCAATGTATGTGCCCTTGATAGCCTCTGACGATTCTTATAGGCTGAAGGAGTCTTTATTCATCAATACTGTTTGCTGTCATGTTGCCATCACATCTGATTAACTAAGATACAGTAAAAATACACTCACATTACCCCGCACACACGCACAGACACACACACACACACACATCCACAGTCTCTAATTAGTTGATAGCCAAGTTACCTTAAGGCCACTACCCTAACTTCAATGATGAGTAGCCTCAGACCCTCACAAATGATCCCTGGCCTTACTGGTGCCAAAACACTTCAAAGTTATAGTGGCCAATTTTGCAGTTTTCCATCCACATTCGTGAGAAACGTCAAGAAAATACAACATGGGCAAGTTTCTTAGACTCGCAACTCACTGCAAACATGTAAACACAAACACAGTTTGGTGTCTTCACCAAACTTGTCCTACATTTGTCGGGCAAATGGATTTGTCTACCCATTATCTCTTCTGTTTACAAGCTGTGTTGTTTTTGAGTGCTTTTCTTCATTTCTGTGATTCATCTCTGCCTCACAGTGAGGATGAACTCTGGCTGTAGTTTCTGAGTGTCAGTCTGGTGTATCTGGGCGAAGGGGGTGAGGGGGGAGGGTGGGACGGGACTGGAGGGAGACAAAGACCTGTCTCAGAGACAGGTGAGCCACTGCTGGAAGCCAGAGAGTCACGGAAGGGTGACGGAGGAGTCAAAGCGATTAGCTCCTCCTCCAACTCTGCCCTCCTCAGAGGGGAGTCGGTGAGGCAGGTGAGCCGACCCCCTCGCATGGGGGAGCGGGACGGGGAGGCCTGGGAGGCCTGGGAGTGAGGGGGTGGCAGGGGGTAAGGTGAATGAGGCATAGAGTGAATGGGACAGCCACCCCGGCCTCCAAAGCTTGATTCAACAGGAGGAAGCGGCTGGACATCAGCGTAGGTGGTGAGGGTCGGGGGCATCTGGAGTTCACGGGGTAACAGATAGGGGTCGGCGGGATGAGGAGATGGAGGTGTGTGTTTCTGCATGTGTGAGTGTGATGGGGAGGACGAGAGCATCATACTGTTGAGCTCCGTTATGTTGGCAGTGAAGCGGTTAACCACACAGCTGATCTGATCCATCAGTGAACTCTGGGGCTCCCCTGGGCGATCGTCCACAATAACCAATCTACCGTCACTCCCTGTAACAATAGAGCCGCTGCTGGGAGGACCGCAACTGCTGCCGCTGCCGGCGCTGCAGATGCTGCTCGGATACTTTGGAATACTGCCCATCTGAGGCTCCTCTCCCGAACTCGCTCCTATTCTCTGGCTGACTGTGCTGATCGGTGAAGGCGTCTGTGGCCGGTATGTGATCGAGTAGCGCTCCTCTGCTTCTGAGAGCTCATACAGGGTCTTGTCGGTGACATTGTCAGGATGAGTGGGGAGAGAGGACATGGACGGGAGTGAGGGCAGAGGGACATGTGGTGGCAGGTCAGCCCCACTGCAGTAATGTTCCTCAGGGGTTTTGGAGAAAGGCTTAATAACAGCAGTCTGATTGTTCTCTTTCTTCTTGATGTGGAATGACAGACGCTGCCACAGGTGGTTTCCACGTGAACTGCTGCGCTCTGTCTGTGCCCACGACACTGATTTACCATTGGAGCTACAGAAAAGGATGAAAAAGAGACAAGAGAGTGATGGGGAAAGATTTCATTTATTTTGTGCATGCACACAGTTTGACAGAAGGCTGTCTAAAGGATTACAAACATTTCTCTTACTTCTTTGAACTGAAGACACATTTTTCTGGCATTAATAATAAGTATTGTTTTAATATTCTACTCAGAGGATTTGCTTGTGGTTCTGTTATTACTGTATGGCACACAACACTGTATATCATTCCAAACCCAAGATAGTACTGCTAAATTCATTTTTACATTTGTTTATCCTACAGTTCGACTCATTATGCTGCTCATTAATATTTAAAGTCTTTCTTGTTAACAGTCGTGTGAAAAAGAAAGGTAGAGATCTTGTATGAAACTAAGTACACCCTTACTGCTTCCACAGGAACTAAGATGATAAGTAGCAGCGAGGTGTTGCTAATCAAATCCACTTGATTAACTGATCATTAACCATTGTGAACAATTCTTTTAAAACAGAAGTCTTGGCAGCACATTGCTAAGGAGGAAAATATCATCAACAATGCTGTTAGTTGTACATTTGTTGGTGCCCTTCAATCTGGGATGGTAAAGAGACCATTCTCAAACAATTTAAAGTCCTCCACAGTGAAGAAGAACTAACAGACATTCAAAACAATTGTCAGTCTTCCCAGGAATAAATGCCCTGGCGAGGTGAATATGTGCCAAAACCCAAGAGCTACATCTCAGACTCTAACATTTAACATGTTAATTGAGGCCTTTAAAGTTAATCACACCGCAAGTAGAAACAGACTGAACAAGTATAGCTTGTTTGGAAGGGTTTGCCAAGAGAAAGCCCCTTCTCTAAAAACAACATAGAAGCACAACTTTACAAACTTGCATCTGAACAAATCACAAGACGATCTGAGAAAACTCATATAGAAATTTGTGAAAGAATCATACAGTGCATTTAGTACTTCACAGGACTGTTTCTTTATCACGTGTCTGTGTTGATTAGTACTGTTAGTTAATACTATATATAAAAACGTATCCAAAGGGAGCCTTTACTCGGACAAAGAAACCAGTTTGACTTTATAAGCGTAGTAATTTAAAGCTTATAAAATCAGTAGCTTGTTCTTCAGTGTTCTGTCAGGTTCTTTCATCCTGCTTTTATTTCTTCCACCAGCTTACTTTTCTCCCCGCTTCACATCAGTCACAGCGCTTCCACCCTCTTACCACCACCTCCATCCCTTTGTCAGGTTAATTAGTGTGATTAATCTAAAGTTGAACTCCTGATTAAAAGTCACACCGCCATGGCTGGGAGTGAAACGAACTGAAATCACTCTGGAGACACACAAACCCACACACAGGCTGTGATGCTTACACTCACACACACACACACACACACACACACACACACACACACACACACACACACACACACAC